TTCTGCGGGCCCTAAAGGCTCTAAACCGTCATCACAGAAAATTAGAAGTTGAAAGGTGATGGCAAAAGCAATTAAATGACATGTCGTCCAGTTTCAGAAGTACACCCTGGTAATTATCTCTTTTTTAAGTACGTGCCTGGCATTGCAGTTACTCGCATATGTATTTAGTTGGCAGCAAATTCATTTGGAAACGTTTTCTTTTGTCAGTTCCGTCACCCTGGCGATTCCATAAACATTGCTTTGCGTGCCGTTACCGACAATGCCTTTTTGTAGTAGATTACAGAACTGTGAAGCAAGTCCATTTATACAATAATACCATATTTTGTGAAGCCTAGCGTAAAATTCCTTTTTAGAAGATAGGTAACTTTCAAGAAAAACAGTTGCTTACATGGTACATATGTAAGTTTTCTCCTAAATCTCCAACCGATATATTGCCAGAGCGAATTTCTGTTCCACTGATCTCGGCCTCGACTTCGACAAGTACATTGTGTACCGCATTATTTCAGATGCAAAAGAACAAGGAACAGTTGATATCGATCAGTAACGAATTACTACCATGGGACACAGACTAATATTTTCTGTTGAGAAATCGACAGTCGTGAGCATATATCATGTTCATTTTATGTTTGGCTCACTGATGATATGAATAATCGGTATCGGACATTGCCATGGGATATAGCTCAGGGGACAGAGGAAGATCTCTCTGCCATATCTATAATGTATGATACATACACGATCCCTCAAGGAGACAATAGTGCTTGTCTTTTCCATTGGGAGTGAGTCTCTAGCGACCCATATGTTTTTTTATGACACGACCTACCGGAATATTAACACATGATAATTCTTACAAAAATCTACTTCAATTTTTTAATACATGGTAGATATTTAAAAAAAAAACCTATAGAAACATTATAAAGACATGGTAAATCTTACAAAATGTCGTTATTTCCTATGGTTTGATGAATGTTACCAGTGAGTTTTATGGTTTTGATAGACTAGTATGTTGTGATGATTTCTAGGGTCTAATGAGTTTTACTAACCTGTCGTATTGTTTGCTGAATGTTATCCGTAGTTTCTTATGATTTGTTCAACAATACCAAGTTTTTTCTACAGATTGCTGAACACTACCAAAATTTCTACTGGTTTGCTACGTTACCAAGGTGTCCTACGGTTGCTAAACGTTGTTTTCTAGGGTTTGCTGTGCAAGACAAGATTTTCCCAACGACTCCAATAACGTTAATAAAGCCTTTTATTGCTTCTTAACCTTATGGTTGTTTTCCATTGTCCAATGAACTTAGAAATGTCCGTTGGTTTACTTACGCTGTCAAGGTTACCATGGTTTGCATGATGTTGTCAAGGGTATCTATAGTTTTGATGACTGTTTCTTTAAGTTCAAACTAGCATTGACAATACATGTGTGTAGAATATCGCTTCCGTTTCCGATAGTTCCTTTTAACATCCAACACCGCTACACATGCAACAGTTTACGACAAACGCTTTTACACTATTCAGAGAACATGCAAATTGTATAGAGCTTGAGATAGAGAATTGCAATCTAGTCCCAGCAAGTTTGACATAAACACATAATCGTTATTCAATATTTATCGTAGGCTTGCATTTTATATCCGAACATCACGCATAACGAGCGCCGCGTCAATGAAATTTGACTTCAGCGTCATTAGGCTTACTGTTTGCTTTTGTCTGAGCATTGCTTTCAAACATTCCTGTAAGCAATATTATTGTATTATAGACGCAAATCGATATCATCTTTATGGCACGGAGTCCTAAAAATGTCACTTATAATAAGAGTGTTACCAATTGATGTTCATATCACTATGAATAAGAATACAGTTCTAAACGAATTTCAGCTTTTGAGCAATTATGTGATCAGTTGTTAGAATATATGATAATTTCCTAAGTATTTCAATCTTGAAGATTTTTGAAACCATTGACAGTTTTGTGTGCGATATTAGAATTGATCGCTTGATAGAATAAGTATTTGGGAGCTATGTCATTATCTCGCACAAATCTTTTAAAAAGACGTCTTCACATAAAATAGATATATGGTATTCTGTCTAATAATGCTTCGATATTGTAAAAATCACCAGTGACAATCTAACAAGATGGCCACGTTGTCCCGAAGTGCGAGGAATGCAAAGCACGGAATCTGATTGTCTGTCTCGGCGGAAAAAGAAGATTAAAAATTATGCAGATCTAATTAATAACAAGAATAGCCAAGAGAATGATTTTCTTCTAGTAATATTGTAAACACATTGGATTACTGTTCTTTCGTGATTGGTTACTGAAGTTGATTGTCCCAAAATGATTACGCTAATGCTTTCTAGTTCATTGAAATAGGATTTTAAGGAAAGAGAACCAGGACAAATCTGTCCATTTTTAATATACCAAGTTGTTTTCGCGCAAAAAACAGTGCTAATAACTAGATTTATAAAAGTTATTTATTTCCGTAAGCAATTCAAATACTGTCAATTATTACGCCACCATAACAGATATCATTTGAATTATTGAATTATTCCTCCGCGTTTGGGGCAAGACTATTTGCGTAGTCTCAGCTAAGCGGCCATACAGTATCAAAAACTTTGACGAAACCAATCAAAGTTTAACGCAGTGATTTATATCTAAACGTTGGTACTAACTGGTAAATTTTAAACACCGGTGCCGTGGTAATGATCTCATATCGATATTTAGGATGTAAGTGATGACTGTTTATCACGTCATCAGCAACCATTCCATATTAGGTCGTCAGTAAAAAAGCCATGTAGAAATTTATTCTAGCAGATTGATTGCGTATCCAAATAATCATTATGTAATGTTTACAAAGGAACATATGTACAAAAATGAAATGCGACTGTTTCAATTCATTGTGTTGACACGATACAGTAAAGGCCATTTGACGACCAATCTCCTTTGACGAGCGGATTACAGATATATGTGTTTGACCACGGCAAGCCCCCCCCCACTCCCCACTTCAACTCAGTAGTTTGTTGTGCTGTGGTAGAAATGTCTGAATGTCTGTTTAGATTTCTTTTCATTTGTGATTACAGCAGGTTGTAGACAGAGAAAACTGTGAAATTGAATTTAAGATACCAGTAACACATACAACTAATCAATAGTGTTAGAAAAACGGTAGAGGTCCTCAGAGCTGCAGAGTGATCAGACACTGGTGGTAATACATACAGATAAACGTGACATGTTATTTTCCCGATCACACTGTCGTCTGGCCAGGAAACTAATCAGAGAACAGGTCATAGCATGGGCAGTTATATGATCTGTCTGGAGACACATCACTGACACAGGCCACAGCAGGGCTACTTATATCTGTCTGAAGACACATAACTGACAACAGGCCACAGCAGGGCTACTTATATCTGTCTGAAGACACATCACTGACAACAGCCCACAGCAGGGCTACTTATATATGTCTGAAGACACATAACTGACAACAGGCCACAGCAGGGCTGGTTATATGATCTGTCTGAACACACATCACTGACAACAGGCCACAGCAGGGCTACTTATATCTGTCTGAAGACACATCACTGACAACAGGCCACAGCAGGGCTGGTTATATGATATGTCTGGAGACACATCACTGACACAGGCCACAGCAGGGCTTCTTATATCTGTCTGAAGACATATAACTGACAACAGGCCACAACAGGGCTACTTATATCTGTCTGAAGACACATCACTGACAACAGCCCACAGCAGGGCTACTTATATATGTCTGAAGACACATAACTGACAACAGGCCACAGCAGGGCTGGTTATATGATTTGTCTGGAAACATATCACTGACAACAGCCCACAGCAGGGCTACTTATATCTGTCTGAAGACACATAAATGACAACAGGCCACAGCAGGGCTGGTTATATGATTTGTCTGAAGACACATCACTGACAAAAGGCCACAGCAGGGCTACTCATATGATCTGTATGAAGACACATCACTGACAACAGGTCAAGACCGGGCTACTCATATGATCTTTCTGAAGACACATCACTGACAACAGGCCACAGCAGGGCTACTCATATCATTTGTCTGAAGACACATCACTGACAACAGGCCACAGCTGGGCTACTCATATGATCTGTCTGAAGACACATCACTAACAACAGGCCACAGCAGGGCTACTCATATCATTTGTCTGAAGACACATCACTGACAACAGGCCACAGCAGGGCTACATACGGTATATGATCTGTCTGAAGACACATCACTGATAACAGGTCACGGCCGGGCTACTCATATCATTTGTCTGAAGACAGATCATTAACAACAGGCCACAGCAGGGCTACTCATATAATTTGTCTGGAGCAATGATATTAACCCTCCAAACACTAGAAGTCATGGTGATGTTGACAATATTGACCATATCATGTCATACTCTTATAATCAGAGGGATGTATGTTAGAAGTAGGAAGGTATGTCCAGCACTTTAATTATCAGTTTAATGGTCTTGTTTTCATCCACTTACAAGATGTATTTGCAGCACTGTCTCTACAGAAGCATAAATCATCTGCTTCTCTTTAGGTGTTTCTAACTCAATTTTTGAGGAATACACTTATCATGCATAAAGGTGACACATCATACTATGCTGTCTAGTCACTGTAACTCATCACTACTTTGAACTAAGATATCTCCAGGATAATTGCATCATCATTATCTAGAGAATGGCATACTGAATGTTTATGTTATCACATTTATTAACAGGTCTCGCCTACCTTAATTAAAGAAATTAATTCACAATTTCTGATTATAAGGTTATAATAGGTGTTGCTGCGTTTCATTTCATAGACATGCTCAATAAATTGGGCTTCTTTCTAAAGAAGAATGCATTTAATATTACGTTGCTTTACCAGACAAGCTCCAGTGTTTCTAGTACACCATTAAAATGTTTGTCAATAAATCTTGTAGGTATTACATTGATGAAATCAACCTTCTGATCCCTATAAATAACAAATAAGTTGAGAGCAGATATTTTTGGCAGTAATATATGTATTTATAAATATGAACATGATTTACACCAGAAATACACCTCATGCATCCCTGCTGGATTAAAGTTATCTTGCATGTACAATTAAAGACTGCTCAAGCTTCCTGTTATGTTGACCATGAAACAACCACTAGCACTCAAAATTTACACAATAAATTGAATTGTATGAGAGTATTCTTGGTTTCAGAATGGATGGAAATGTAAACATTGATACAGATGCACGCCTCAGCCGACTACAGGTAATTGTAGTCTATATCTAAATCCTTGTGGTGTACTATTCAAGTACAACTCCACCTTCAAAGTAAAATCTATTCAAATTGTTTATCAAAGCTCACACCAAAACCTTGCTGTCATTTTTATACCACAGGTTAAAATTTTAGCAACTTTCTTTTAAATTAATCAAACAGTATTTTGATGAATTCAAATTTCAAAATCTGATTGTTAAAGGACATCTTCACATGTGTCATTATTTTCTCAGATTAAGTTTTCTCAATCACATTAATGTACTGTAAAAAAGCGAAAATATACCTGCAAAACAACAGTATCTTTATTTCCTCTCTTATAATGAGATAGACAGAAATTTGAGGTCTTGTTCATGGGGCTATGTTGGATTGATGTCTGAAAGTTTTAGAACAAGGGGCTTACAAGTTCATAAGCTATATGTATGTTTTAAGCAATTCTGGACAAAAAATCACAGTTTATCAGTAACAAAAGGAATTAATGTGACATTAAAACTAATATCACATTCATCACATAACTTTCACCTTTCTAACTTACTATTGAAAACTAAAATAAAAAAGCAGACAAAATAGGATGCAAGATGTCTATGGGAAAGTATGAGAAATTCCTACCTTACATAAATAATGAATATATCATGATATCAACATTTTGATACAGATTAAAACTCCAATTATGGTACAAATTAAAAAAAATATTTTCCTATAATAAGTTCAAAGTAAGATTGAAAATAACAAAATTTATAGAAATTCCCAAAATTAAACATGTAACCAAATTTTGTTGTTCTAAATAGTTTTACCAGATTTAGAACGATATTTAACATTAAGCTACTTTGATTCAGACGGCAAAATGTTATATCTATAACAATACCTCTCCTGTTTCCAATTCTCTCCCCTGTACTTTTTCTCACAGTAAATGCTGATAATTGAATTTCACTATACACATCTGACAGAGCAGATACATCTTTTTACCAAAAGAAATATGCTGTCTCTGTTCCTGATATTTAAAAATGGTACGTTTAGACTTGCACTCATTTGTCTTGCTCTATGTTCTAAACAACAATCATCTCTCACTCAACTCCTACCCTCATACACCCATTTCTTCCATTCCTTGTCCTGAACAAACACCGACTCTCATCACAAGGATGGCAAACCTAACACTTTCTTCAATAACAAAAATAACCTCGCATACTGCTACCACATTGCGTCCAATCTGGTAAAAGCCTGGATTGCACTACTTCTGGCCATCGATAATACTGCATGAATTCCTCTGATCTCAGTACTTTTCCAGTTATATATGTCATTGCTTGTACATCTATATAGCAGAAATGTGTTTTATATCTGAAAAGTCTTCGTTCTCTTTTTGACAATGTAGAAATGAATGGTGACTACATCATCTACAGAGCAGGCTATCATTGTAGGTGAAATATTAGCTCTGAACATCAAAGTTTTTACATCAGTTGATGTTTCTTCAGCTTAAGAAATATGAACATTTGCTAATGGAAATTTTGTTTGCAATTATCAAGCACCATCCACCACACAAGCAATAGAACATTCTTGTTCTTAAGGTCAAATGAAACACAAGGGATTGGGGTCAAAGTTTATAGTTGAAAGGCAGATGGACTGATCATCGTAATGGTGAAGTCATGGTTGCTAAGGAAGACTCCTCCTCCCTCTCGGCAGCGTGTTGTTTGAGTTCGTGTAGTGTGTGTGCAAATCGTGACCATTCATCATGTTTTGGTGTTGCAATGGTCTGAAGAAAAAAAGAAAAATAATTGTAAAAATTTCAGCATTCATAATAATACAGATTGAAGTATATACTGAAGTAGCGATATTCTTCTCTCAGCAGAGATGCCATAAAAATGTTTGGCAAACATTGAACTGTTAAGTTTTAAATGAGAAATAGTTACATTATATGTTTTTGCTCAGCAATGATGAAAATATGATACCTTAATTTAGATATTTTGAAACCAAGGTAAAAGTTTCATGCAGAAAAATAAACCTGTGATACAGTGTATGATAGTGAACATATTTCTGTATTTTATATCTATTTCCATGTAGCAAACATGTAACAAAAATTATCAGCTTTGTATCAAAATCAAAATATAGTACCCTGGATGAAAATCAAAAACCCATCTTCTTTTGAGTCAATTCTGAGATATGGCATGAAAATGGAAAAACAATATTTCTGAACAAATCTCTCATATTAAAAAGAGATCAGATTACATATGGAAAAATTCTGTACTAACCTCTGCAACATCGTAGATGTATATATGTCCAAGATCATCACCAGTAGCTATATGAGCACCTGTTTGGTGCCAACGACAACGATTCAGAGCCACATTATTCTCCATGACAATGGTGGCTGTCGGTACCTAGACACAAAGAAATAATTACATGGTTTCATCAATTTACCTGGACAAACTAAATGATATGGATATTATATATCTTTTTGATTCGGAAATGATTTTCACTGGATATGGTTGCTTGTTGATGATAGATAGCACTTATCTGTAGTTTATTCAGAACTATTATGTAACAGACCTATTAACTAGTATTATAATAATTTCTCATCCTGAACAACTAAAATCATACAGTTAATTGTTTTAAAGACAACTGCTAAGTAGGTAATGATTTAACATAATTCAGACATTTTTCTCATATTTGCTAATAATTCCTCTAGTTTAATAAATTATAAGGACACATGATCTGGAAAGTAAACTGTTAAACTAAAGTAAAACCTTGTGAACTACATGACGCTCCTAAAGTCAAGTTATTTTACTGCATCAGGTGTAATGAGAACAGGTAATCTTATCACTACTAATGATACTATTTCTATTTTTTCCTGATGATTTTTTACATAAATTAATTTGCTAATTTCAATCAAACCTGTCTGTGGACAGATCTAGAGTCAGTTTTTGTTTTCCCAAAATACAGGATGGAACCTTTTTTGTAAAATACTGAAATTAAAACTGATCAATGTGAAATGGCAAATTATGAATATGATTTTTCATTGGGAAGCCCCTAGGACCTGTGTGTCACCATAGTTCTACTCCCTCAGTACTTACCTCTGTATCATTATTAAGATGCCACAAGTCCAGGCGTCCCATACCATCCACACTGGCAAACAGTGCAGGGTGAACTGGTGACCACTGTACATCATAAACATAGTCACTGTTGTCCTCAAACGAATGGATAAACTTGGAGTCCTGTGAATGAGATACTGTATGCTGAAGACAATGTGTTATATAAAAGACCTTTCTATTGAATATTGTAATTAATGATGAAATGAAATTTGTAAAATTTTGTGAAATTTTCATATATTGAATTTTAAATTTGACAATTTAATTTCTTAATATGGTTTGAAACTTCTAAATTCAGATGAATAGGACAATTTTTATGAACTGCTTTGCAGAGACAGTACTTAACAGCTAGAATGAACTCAGTTTAGTTACATTTTGATATTATTGTCCTTACTTTTATACTCCACAGCTTAATAGTCCAATCAAAGGAAGATGTCAGGAAGTAGGGAGAGAAATCTATCTGTCCTGGCACAGAGTGGCAGTTTATTCCAGTGATGGGACCCTGGTGACCTTCAAATGCCTCACTGATACCAGCCTTACTGTAATTAAATACATATATTGTGTGTATCAGTATACAAATCATTTCTTACCCCCATACAACAACATCATAGATGACCAAATGGTCATCCTTCCATAACATCATGGATACTTTACTAAAACTTTCCAGTAAGTAAACAAACTCTGGAGTAAAAGGAAAGAGTATCTCTCATGATCATTTTAGATAAATAAATGTCAGTATATAGAATTAAAATGCATTACCTTAAGGGGAAAAAAAACCCCAAGCAAACTGAGTTAAAAATACTACAGAGGGGAGATAACTCTGAACTTTCAGTGCAATTTTTCCATTCATTTAATTGGAAACATGACCTAACTTTCATGCTTACAGGAGAGGCTTCATTCCCGACATGCCTTCAAGAGACTTTACTTGTGACCTGCCTGCCTTGACCACAGCCTGTGTATACTGTACAGTCATCAAACCAAACCTTCCTTTCATACCTGCAGTCTATGTATACTTCATAATCTTCGCTCCAGACCTCCCTTACAGACCTACAGGTGAGATTTCTCACATGACCTATCATACATGCCTTCAAGAGATTTCATCCCTCACCTACTTTCTCTTACTACAGGTTGTGTATACACTACTATCATGAGTCTGTATATTCCCTGCATCCTAACTTCCCACCTTCCTTCCATGTCTACAGACTGTGTGCATTGTTCAGTTCCCACCTACCTTCCATGCCTACAGGCTGTGTAAACTGTACAGTCCTCACTCCCCACTACAAAGTTGTTGACATCATTGGCTAGGAAAGAAAATGAGGTCACAGCCACAGCTTTACTCTGTTTGTGCTGGAGTTCCATACTGTCCTGGAAACAATAATTTCAATTTTTTTTTGTAATTTCAAAAAAAAAAGATTTAACAAAAACTGAATAACAGTATAATAGGAAAAGAATGAATCTAGAAAAATCAAACTTTAAAGGATATATTTCATATAATAAACTCAAAAACATGTACAGAATGTAGGACAATGATATACTGGTTACAGAGCTATGAAACATACAGGTTTTACTATACTGTAGTTACCAAACTTAAAACAACCATTATCAAACCTGTAATTATCCATTAATGATGTACCTGTGGTTGTGACAACATGTCAAGACTCCATGAACACATCTTGCCATCCGTGGACACACTGATCAGATTGTGAGCGTTCTGTGTTCCTACCACATTCACACAATAAACCGGATGCTGAAATCATCAAACAAATTCATAATCTCATGAATTGTTCACATGACAAACAAACTTTTAATACATTTTGATATGCAAATACAAATATAAATTCAACTTGTTTGATTCTGTATATTTGTTACATGTTATATAAGTAAAATTTCTTGAATTGCTTGCATAAATGTTTGCCTCTTCGGTATTTTACATAACATTACATTTTACAAGACTTTATAAAGGAAGCCATGCTTTATAAGTCTAAGATATATGTGACCCAAATTTCAAAGTCAAACATGCAAAATATACACCTAACTGGTGAAACCTATATGACTTAGATTTTGAGATATGAAGTACATGGTCGGGACCCTTAAATCATCTCTCTAAAATATCAATGATCAGAAATAGATAGAGTAGTAACATACAGTGTGAGCAGCAGCTGACAGTGGAGTTCTCTGTACTGGGGTCCTCTTGTTTACTCTGTTGTCCCATAATACAATCTGTCCCGAGTATGTACCACCCACCACCAGATTAGGGTGGAATTCCGCAAAACAGCTCGACATCACTGCTGACTGTAATAACACATTATTACTGGCTGTTAATAACTCATATTTAGACGTCTAAATTGTAATATATCCACAGATATATCTATGCTAAGATAAAATAGACAACAATAGCTCTTTTCACACACAGGAATCAAAAGCTTTTTATAATTTTTGTTTTTACTTAGTGAGATCGACAAAACAGTATGATTTTACATACCTGGCAATGGAAAATATACTCTGGTGTCTGCTTTTTGAATTTGACATTCCACACTAGTGCCACACCATCAGGGTCATGGGGGGCATCTTCGTTTGTATTGTAAGAGGCTACAATTAATTCTGGATGCTGAAATTCAAAACACAATATTCATTTGAATTAACATCATGTTTTCAAAGTTGCATTTTTAGGAATTAATTATTTTTGGATATCAGATTGACATAATACAATACAGCACATTTTATACCTAGCTTGTAGACATGATTGTCACATTAAGAAAAATAGAGGTTCAATTGGCCTGCATTACCATCATTCAATGCTAGTTGGAAACATACTTTACATCTCAATCTGTGACCCTTGATCACATTAAGTCAAAGTAGAGAAGTTGACACAACAGACTACAAATGATGTGAATAAATTTTCCATATTAATCTTAACATTAGTTTAAATTTGAACAAATTCATCTCACTGCTTGCATCTCTGAAGGCTACAAGCTAACATATCATAATGCTATACCAACCTGTTTTGACCAGTCCATGCTAGTGATTGTTCTATGCTTAGACCACCTTTCATCATAAAATTCTCTATTAAGTTTCAGTCTCTCTCCAGCCAAATCACTAAAGAAACACAGAAATAGCCTTTAGTGTGTAATCATGAAGAAACAAGTAAGCATACATTTTCCTAAGCTATAATCGTTCCTCAATGTGGTACCTGATGACTTATAAACAAATATGTTCAATAAGTACTGAAAACTACAATAAACACATTTCTTTTGTCTACAATAGTCTACTTATATGTAAATCTGCTGTGTGCTGGGTTTAATGCCTCCTCCATAGAGAGGCTGATGGATGTTTCATAGATAAGGGAGATCTGTCAAATGTCATCAAAAACATACGGGTAAAATATTTTGCTCAAAGACACAACCAAGTTAGTGTGCATTGACTAGGTCATTTCTCAGCTTCCTGAGAAATATAACTAGTAGGGGGCATTAAGCCATGTATTCACGCGAGGTTCTTTAGGTCAATCCTCTACCTATTTGAATATCAGTAGAAGTATGTATATCTTTATTCCAATATAATATCAATTAAGATGCGATCACTTACACTATGTAGATCAGTATAAATGCTGTATATCATATATATAAAAGTTTTAACATTTAAATTGGAATTATATTGGGGTACAGATATTTCAGCATCTCATCTGACTAAATCACAAATTAAATAACATTAAATAACTTATCACACAGTAAGATCCTATATTGATTAAGTTGACCCATACTCATCCTTTCCCTCTCCATCTCCTCCAGTGTAATCCATGAAGATATCAACACTTTCACATAGAGCACGTTCAACGATGCGTGTCGTGTGATCGAAAAAAAGTTGGAAATCTTCTGACATCATGGCTTGTTTTTTCTCCTCCTCACTTAACTCTGGTACTGAGAACAGAAGACATTCAGACACCACTATCATTCAAATGCTCCTTACAAATTCAACCTCATTTTTTTCACTTTTTTCTTAGATGTCAATTGTAGGATTAAAGGCTAAATTAGGAATAATTATTTTATCTACACCTAATTTACATGGTCCCATATTGACATTGTTACACTTTGATAAATGATAATAAAAAGAAAACGAGGTACATTTATATAAGATAGTTTTACTTATCTATTAGAATACTTGAGCAAACAGTTCCTCAAATCTAAGATATCAATTTTATCTGCATATCTCATATTTCATTCATTAGTGAGGGAGTTACAATGTCTATTTAATTTACAAATCTGATTTCATGGATACGGATATAGTCATTTCAGCTGTATGGTCTAACAGCTAGCTTCAGACCTGAGTTAGCACTGCTATAACAACAGCAGTTGCTCTTGCTGAAGATGTAAGGTGATTGGGTAGTATAGTGGGGATGGACCAATGCAACCAGGGTTCTGATTTACTGATCATATATGAAAATGTATGGAGTCACCTGTTTGACCATGTGGGTTTACCCTGGGTACTCTAGCTTCCTCCCAGCTTCCTCAGACCCTTTACACACTTTCATCCCAGTCAATAAGATGAATCAATAGAAGTGGACAGCTTGTTTTGCAATTGTATATAGATGTTAGGTTAAACACATGAAAACTTCAGGATGAAGAAGATAAATGTGATGGTTTATTACACTTATGTGTGATAGTCAAACTGCTAACTTTTGTGGCTGTGTGGCTGTCTGTGTTCCTAAGTTCGGCAATGTCTAGAATCTAAATGGATGACAGCTCTGTTGTACTTCTGAAATGTGCTATTCATAATATGTCGAACACACGCTTTAACATCAGTGTGTGTATGGTGTGTGTGTAGGATTTAGACACTGTGATCACTGTAGTTCAAATTCTAATGTTAAATTCACTTGGCTGTTTCTCTTGGAAAGCAAAATTTTGTACATTTGCTGAGTTGATGTAGGACTTAGAGAATTGAAGACACACCGTATATCTATGAAACAATGAAGATTATTTTGTTTTATGAATGACCTAGAACTTACATGGCTTATCTTCCTTCTTGTCATCATCGACAGTCTTGGAAGGCGGTACCATCTCAACATGTGGCATCTTGTGGCTTGGTGAATGATCTGTCACATCAACTGAGTCAGCATCGTCATCTGTACGACCAACAGGGTCGTCATATACAAGAACTGTTTGTTAATATTTCCCTCTGCTGTTCTATAACAAATGTTTCAGAAACTCTTAAATTAGGAAATACTGATAACATCTCCTTGATTTCCAGATCCTTGATATCAGTACATACCTTAACATCACCAATACATATTCATAGTGCAACAGCAAAACATATTTTTAATAATTTTATTCACAACATTGAGTCAGTCTTCTTTAAAACTTCTGGGCAGAAAAACAATGCAAAGTTCAATAAGTACAAGGATAGGTAGGAAAGGTCCCTGCAATATGATTTACGATCATAAGCCTGAAGCAGAAGCCACAGTGATCATTGTGGATTTTAAGATATAGTATAGGTACCCTATACCAAGAAGTATATTTGTCAAATAAGACAATCAGAACAGAAGTCTTCAAATGAACAGTCCTAACCAACATAGAACAAAAGTTATAGAGATAGATTTTGTCTCGGTCATTCAAAAGGGGCATATGGAGGCCATATTGAATACTACGAGAAGGGCACATGGTGGCCATCTTGATTACTGTGAATGTATGTGATACTTAGGCATTATCAATATACCTATAACAAATCTACTAGCCAGCTATAACTTCTGATCATTGTGAAAAATAAAGGAATTGTCAGAAAAGGCAACAGAAACGTTTTTTTTTTACCAATTTATTGCCATATTCATGTAACAGTGAATGAACTTGACTGTAGCCATCGTGTTGTTTGAAATTACGATAAATATGGCAAAATTCACAGTATCAGTGATGATTATTTCTTATACTGAAAGAAGAGTGACTATAGAACAGTATTTTGAGAGATATTTTTTTAATAAGATTAAGCAGAAATTTTGATAAGGGAACTGATACCATTTGGGTTCTCTGTTCTTACCTTTCATATCATGTAATTCAAAAAGGTGACCTTCAATTGGCGGATATTTTTTTTAAAACAAGATGTTACAAGCTATAAAATAATACTTGCTTTAAGATTATCAAGAGTCTTTCAAAATAAATCTTATGTCAAAGGGACAACTCATCTAGAATTTAAAATCAAATAAAAAACCAGATCACAGTCTTACCTGAGAATAAAGTCTAGTTCATAATTGTATTTCATTTGTACTACCAGTATAATACAATCATGCATTTAATGTTCTACTTTTACTACCTACGCCGCAATGCATGGTAAGGACACTGGTATCTTATAGTAGTGTTGATTACATAATACTAGAAAGACATGCTAACCAATACAAATGTACAAATATTCTAATAAACAAAACCCTGTGTTCAAAATAGTGTCAATGTTACATATTACTTTATTTGAGATGGTACAGACTTTAAATACCTTATTTTTACCATACTGTTGTTATTTCTATTCTGTATTCATTTTCATTTCCATAAATTAGTTAAATATCAGGGCTAAAAATTCCTGGTACATGTATTAGAAATTTTTGAGTTCCTCCCAAAAATTCCTGGTACATGTATTAGTAATTTCTGAGTTCCTCCCAAAAATTCCTGGTACATGTATTAGAAATTACTGTGTTCCTCCAAAAAATTCCTGGTACATGTATTAGAAATTTCTGAGTTCCTCCCAAAAATTCCTGGTACATGTATTAGAAATTTCTGAATTCCTCCCAAAAATTCCTGGTACATGTATTAGAAATTTCTGAGTTCTCCCAAAAATTCCTAGTACATGTATCAGAACTTTCTGTGTTCCTCCCAATTCTGAAACACAATATTGAAGTATGTAATTATGTAGTGAAAAAATCTTAATCAAGTCATTTACATTATGAGATAATGTTTCAATTTACACACAATTATATATGACAATGTGTTTACACCTAAGGAACATTCATCATTACTTTTTGTTTAAAACACAGTTTGCTGCTACTACACATACTGCTATATATAAGTCTAACTATGGAAAATCATGGGAGAGAGTGATGAAGACATAATAAGCAAATAAACCACATCTGAATCAAAAATATCAAATTCAGATGGCACAATTGGAGCAATTAAGAATAACATCATCATTTCAATGCTTCATGGAAATTTTCATTTCAGCATGGCAAGATGACTATGGCTGCTAACTAAAGCAATACTAGTTAAATGCTTGACTAAGTGCAGTTTCTATAGTAACTGTTATAATCCTAAGAGAAGCTGTATTAAGATGCATCCTATCAAATACAATGTTAAGTATTGGTATAATGACTGCTTATAAAACATTTTCAGACATACCTTATGCAGAAGTTTATCAAATACAATAACATGCATCAACTTTAATTGAAATAAAAACTAAATATAAAAAAAAATATGTTCATATGATAACGTCCTCTTCAGCATTACTCAATATCTTATCAATTCAACAACACATGTGTTTATAGATGCATGTATATTTAGTAATTCTGAAGTTGGTCAGATATAAACTTATTCCATCTATCATGACTTATGACCCTTGGAGTATCAAAGTATCAGTTGTATAAATGCATTACAATATTTTTGGCATGCTGAATGTTGATATATGACCAAAATTTCAATAGTATCCAATTTACTACTGTCCTATCAAAAACTATGTTTTTATACACCAAAGTCATCCAACTTCAACATAAGTGAGTAAGCATTATATTGAGAGAGAAAAGAAGTAAAAACATAACAGAAGCACTTGTGCTGTCCTATAGTAATGGCAATACAAACACCGAATTACAAACCTACTTATATATAGACATTTACAGATATATACAAGTCGCTGGCTATCATTCCTCTACAGCTGTATATAGACAGGAGATGACAATGGTGGTGATGATGATGAAGATGATATAAAGTGATGAAAAACCGATAAAAAAGGACAACAAATACAAGAGAAGTCACATTTAAAATTATAAAAGTGATAAAAAAGCATTTCCTTAACTCACTTAAGAGAAAACAAGTATGTACAATCAAAGTTTTGAACTTCACAAGACTTGGTTACACTGAAAATATACTTAATAAGATTTACTTTAACAAACACCATGTACATAAGTAAACTGATATAGCACTGGTACACAGCTAAATCTACTGTGCTACAGTCTTGTATATGAGTTGATGATACCTACAAATTTTAACAACTGGTCTTTATGTATTTGTCAATGATGAAGAACTGTGAAAACTTTTCGAGTATATTTATCAAATGTAAGCTTCAGCATGAACTGAATACCTAGAACTGATGTCAGAGAGGACAAGAATTCCAGTAAGGAGTAAGTAAACTACATTTTTTGTTGTTCAAGTTTACAATTTTTGCTATGCATTTATTAATCATCATAAAAAAATCAACTCTGATGATTGTCTTTACTTTAGTATATCAAAGTTTAAACTACAAGTCACATGTAAATTTCTTTTCACAAAACTTCCAAAAGATCAATATCTTAATCTTAGAAACACAATGACATGCTCTGTACATAAACAATACACTGAATACATTAAAAGCTATTTACATGAGGATGAAAGAAATTTTAATATATATGCTATTTATCTAGTTATAAGCCCATCATTTATTATAACTGGAATTTTGTTGTTCTGAAAAATTACAATCATCTAGGATGTTGAGTAAAAAGTAATATGTTGCTACACCCTGATTTTGAGTAAGCAGTAAAGTGTTAGCCCCCTGTGCTACAGGGTATAAAGTAATTAGTCTGTCCACAGGGCTACACCCTGGCTTTGAGAAGGAAGAAATGTGTTGGTCCCTGACAACACTCTCACTTTGAGTAAGAAGTAATGTGTTGACCCCTGACAACACTCTCACTTTGAGTAGGAAGTAATGTGTTGGCCCCCTGACAACACTCTGGCTTTGAGTAAGAAGTAATATGTTGGCCCCCTGACAACACTCTGGCTTTGAGTAGGAAGTAATATGTTGGCCCCTGACAACACTCTGGCTTTGAGTAAGAAGTAATATGTTGGCCCCTGACAACACTCTGGCTTTGAGTAGGAAGTAATATGTTGGCCCCCTGACAACACTCTGGCTTTGAGTAAGAAGTAATATGTTGGCCCCTGACAACACTCTGGCTTTGAGTAGGAAGTAATATGTTGGCCCCTGACAACACTTTGGCTTTGAGTAAGAAGTAATATGTTGGCCCCTGACAACACTTTGGCTTTGAGTAAGAAGTAATATGTTGGCCCCTGACAACACTCTGGCTTTGAGTAAGAAGTAATATGTTGGCCCCTGACAACACTCTGGCTTTGAGTAGGAAGTAATATGTTGGCCCCCTGACAACACTCTGGCTTTGAGTAAGAAGTAATGTGTTGACCCCTGACAACACTCTCACTTTGAGTAGGAAGAAATGTGTTGGCCCCCTGAAAACACTCTCACTTTGAGTAGAAAGAAATGTGTTGACCCCTGACAACACTCTCAATTTGAGTAAGAAGTAATATGCTGGCCCCCTGACAACACACTACCACTTTGAGTAGGAAGAAATGTGTTGACCCCTGAAAACACTCTCACTTTGGGTAGGAAGTAATGTGCTGGCCCCTGACAACACTCTCACTTTGAGTAAGAAGTAATGTGTTGACCCCTTAAAACACTCTCACTTTGAGTACGAAGTAATGGGCTGGCCTATGAAAACACTCTCACTTTGAGTAGGAAGTTATGTGTTGGCCCCTGACAACACTCTCACTTTGAGTAGGAAGTAATGTGTTGAACTGTTAATGGGCTTATTGCAAGATAAATATGATAATATAACTGTATATAAGGATAGTTGAAATGACAAATGTTTTATCTAATGGTAATGCGATGTATGATTCATCATATATTTCCTACTGTTTACCAGAGACACGAATAATCTTAACTAGACTTAGCATAATATCACATGATCTCACTATTTATACATAGACAGTAACATATACTATCTACCTTTATTATTCTAAAACACTACCTGTATTTCTAATTATCTGAATTTCCAATCACCTCACACTTCAAAAAGCATTTAATTGATATTTTTATGACACATCATTTGACCTC